CCGGTAAGTATCTCTTCTTAATGACTATATTTAGCTGGTGACAATCCGAGAGATGCTGTACCATTTAGGATTTGTACAGAATTGAACACCTCGCAATAATTGAAAAGTTCAGTTTTTGCTTAAAATAGAACTGCTGCATGGCTTTACTTTCGAGGATTGAATAGATCAAAACAGAAGGTAGTGTGTTCAACAAGCTCACAATGGCCTTACTTTACTATTTGATGTCAAGTACCTTACACTGAACGCATCCTCGCGGTTAGTGTTACTAAATATGATGCTATTTGTACCCACCCAAAAACATCCCTAGTGATGGATCTTCTTAAAAAGAAAATGTTAAAGGTTTTTAGCCTCACTTTGGACCTGGACACTGATAACAAAAAAAAGTGGAAGACAAATCATTTATGCATGACTGCTTAACGAAATTAAGTATTTTTAAAATATTAACACCTCATGAGCCAATATATTCTTTCAGCTCAATTGAAGCGTTTGTCAACGAGTCTTCCGATTTTCATCGTCCAATTAAACTGAAATTACAGTTAACAGGAAAATACACACACAATGATCTAGAAGCAAACAACGGATACGTATTGAGCATTCCATCAGTAGACAATAAAACCCGGCTAAAAGAACTTCTTCTTGATAGAGCAAGCAAAATCTACGAATTAGAATTTGAAGAAATAAGAAAAAACATGGTTGGTTTTACAAAATGAAAACTCTTTTTTTAGGATGAATAAACTCATAAACAGGTTGAACAGTTAGGACTATGTAGCAGAGAAGGAGAAGGGAAATGCATTATTCATCCTAAAGGATTTAATCAACGCCAAAGACGTCTATAAGAACTGCAAGGATGAGCGGCTTTCGATTTATTTTAGTGAAATGAGCTTGTATCGTTCAATACTTCTGGATGAAGAGCTCTAGCTGGAGTGGCTTATGCAGCCAAAAATTGTTAACACAAAAGAGCAAATGCGCGTTCTGTATTTTTTAATTGAATATTGTAAAGTTAAGAATGAGATGGTTTCTGGATGTTTGATTCAATCGCATTTGGAGATAAGTATTGAGGAATTTACGCTGTTCAAGTCCTTTTTTTACCAATGAGCTTGTAAAGACTTATTAAAACAAGAAGAGAATATTTTTGCTTAGTTTGGTTGAGGCGATAGAATGCTTCATTCGCAATAAACTGAGAAACTACAAAGAGTGCTTTTCTATTCTAACGAGAGAGTTTTCGGAAATCAAGGAGCTCAGAAAATTTCTGGAACAGAACAGTGGTGAACTTACTGAGAAAAATGGTGAAAACACAAGTCAGGTTGTCTACCAGCACACAGAGAAACGTCCACCAGGAGAACAAAATAATTGTAAGTTCCTGAATGATAGGGTTCTTGAGTATATCGACAGACTCAAGTTTGAAACATTTGATAAAAAATAAATTAGTCAAAAAAAATTGTAAGAAGACAGTATTCTCATTCAGGTAAAACATTTTACTTAAAACACAAGCTACTTAGTATCAACCACAATGAACCTACTTCATTCATCATTCTTGTAGACACCTAAAAGCGTACTGCTCAGCTCAAACATGTCGTTTCTAAGACTAATAACAATAAGCTGTGCATTTCTGGTCCTCTCCCTAAGAAAATTCGATATGACACTGACATTCCTAAAATCCAAAGCTGCATCAATCTCGTCCATAACATAGAATGGAGATGGTTTATACACATGCAGCGCTAAACCCAGCGCCAATGATGATAATGTCTTTTCTCTGCCACTCAAATTGCCTATGTTCTTCCAACTCATCTTAGGCGGCATGACACTCATAATTATTCCCTCAGCAAATGGATCGAGACAGTCGACAAACTCCAGCTCAGCATTGCCGCCAAAAGTGATTCATGAATTTCTTTTAAATTTTTGGAGATTTTGTTGAATCCATCCATAAACAACTCAAGCCTCTTTTCTACCAAAAGAGTCAGATCATTGTTCATTTTAACTAAATTGTTTAAAAGGAATTTGTAGTCCTCCCTTTCTTTATCAAACTCCCCTTTTTTCTTTTTGTATTCATTGATAATTTCAATACCAAAGGATTTGTTCCTGGCATCTTCCATTATTTTCTCTTCCATTTTAATCAAGACCTCTATTTCCTCTTTGGAAATCTCATTATAAAGCTCCTCGGTTTCCAAGATGTTTAGATACCCTTTTATCGATTTTGCTTCAGAGCCTAGACGTCTCAACTCGCTTTCATAATTTCGTATTTTGTTCTTATAAGCGTCGTTGCTGTCTACTATCTCGTCAACCTTATTCTTCAAATCAATTTCCAGATAGTAGTCCTCGCCCATCTGCGCTTTAGTTTTGTTAAATTCTTCATTTAGTGCTTCCAGGTCGTTTAATTTTTCTTTATAAACGGAGTCCATCCCATCAACCTCTTTCTTGCTCTCCACATGTTTTCAATTGGCTTTAGCTTACTGAACTGCAATTTTAAATCGCTCGCCTCCCTTGCTTTTTCCTCAACATCCTCAATTACCATATCATTTAATTTAATTTCCAAGTCTTGGTTTTTTTTTCTAAAATGTCCAATTTCTCCTCAAAAATTTCTTTTTCAGATCTCAAACTTTAATATTTGACCCCATAAACGTCTAAAATCATGGCGCTTAGCTTCAAAATTTCAATTTTGTAATTCTGAATTTCCTCATCGAGATTCTTCAATTGCTCTTTCAAAGAGTTGTATTTCTTATTTTCCTCATCGGTTACTCGTTTTTTTTCTAATTTTAACTCGATTCCTTTTAATTTAGCATTGATTTCGTTGACCCTCTCTTTTTGGTTTAAACTTAGTTTTAGTTTGTGTTCCACTTCCTCTTTCTTCCTTTTTATTTCACTCCTTTGACTGTCCATTTCCTCTAAAGCCTTTTCTAGTTGAGCAATTTCATTTTCATATTTTACCACCCTGTTTAATCCTATGCTGCTTTTGTTTGAGCTGCTCATCAATCCACTTTCCTCAATCAGCTTTCTGTCAAGAGTAACAACTCTTTTCCTGATCCTAACAAACGCCATTCTGTTCCCTTCTTCAATATTCTGTGCCACCAAAGTGTCTTATAATGCATAATAAAAGCACTTCTTGAATTTTTCATCCGTCTCTATCAAATTAAACGCCTATGGGACTGGCTCCTCCCTCAGACAGGGAATTTCGGATATTCTATCGAGGATAATGAAAGTGGTCCTGATTAAATTGCGCTTCTTGATTATTTCAGCACATTCTTCTGCCGTTTCCGTCTTGTCAGCAACTGTTATTGAGAGCTCCTTTAGACGCAGCTGATATTGCATGTTCATGCCTTTCGTGTACGGAACCCAAACTACTCAATCTGCCAAACAGTCCCTTCACGTCTCTAATTGCATCATCGACTGTCCTAGATCCGTAACGCTGCTACTCTTTCTTTTTGATTTCTCTAAGCAGAAACCTCCTTTGATTTAGGTGATTCCATGTAATGTCGATGTCTTCTTGAATGCCTTGCAGTTTCGAGCTGAGACCCGAGCTTTTACTTTCCAGATCTTCCACTCTCTCCAAATCCTTTAGATTCTCCAATTCGTAGAAAAACAGCTCCTGCTCATTTTCTAAAAAGCTATAGCTGTCTCCTATTTTCACACCCAGTTCGACTTCATGAGCACAAACTTCATCTCTATTTTTAAATAGATAAAGAGCTTCATTTGAAATGTTTTTCTTGTCAATTTCCTTTATCCTATTCTCAAATTCACTCTTTTGAGCCAAACCGTTTTATTTTAGCCTCTTGATTTTTTAAATATTCAGCTCGTTTATTTTCTTTCTAGACTCAAAGAACCTTAGAGACTCTTTCATCGCCTCATTATTCTCTTTCTTTTTGTTTTCAACATATCTGAACTCTTTCTCATAGTATTTAAAGTCTGTTGCCTTAGAATCGTTTTCTTCCCTCATTTTTTCAGCTTCTGACATTTCTTCAATTTCTTTGTTGAGTGAAGATGTCCCAATTACCTCCTCCAAGTATTCCAGCATCCCCACCTTTTCGTTCTGAGACTTGGGCTTCATCATTGCTATTGATTATATTTCTCCCTGTAATGTCAGGAATCTGTTGTTCTCCATGTCAACACCTTCTTTCGACATGAAACTGTGAATTTCGTTGCACTTCACCTCCTCATTGTTTATAAAATATTCATTTTTCTTGCTTAAATACAGTTCTCTCCTGATTTTGTGGACATCAGATCTTCTGCTGAAGATTGGCTCGGCGTAGCATATCGGCCTTCTCTGTGTGTCCCTGTAAATTAGATCCGTTTGCACCGTATGTCTCTTTGTTTTTGCTCGGAACCCAAGAACAAACAAAATCGAGTCAATTATATATGATTTTCCCGATCCATTCGGTCCAAAAACAGCGGTGAAGTGGTGATCCAATCCACTTATTTCATGCTCACCCTCAAAGCTCTTGAAGTCCTTCATCTTAATGCCTGTTATTCGCAGCAAATCCATTGGGGCCCAACATTTTTTTATCCAAAACTCTTTAGGCTCCATCCCCAAGGCAAAATTTTGTTCTTTTTTAGCTAGGCCCATGCGCTCCTGACTACGTTATGAGAATGCTATCAATCAGTGCAAACTTGATAGAACATTCTGGGCTCAGTAAAAGTATCAAGAAGGCATATTGAAGCTCCTTTTAATTATAGGTCAAATACCTGGGTGTTGCAGAGAACTTGGCCTATCCTTTGACAACCTTATTAACAGCAGCTATAAAGTCATTTTCTGTCGCTATCTTCCTCCTTTCTCTTATTGCAAACATCCCTGCTTCGGTGCAGACACTTCTCAGCTCTGCTCCTGTAGAATTGGGACACAGTGGTAGAATTGTGACACAGTGGTAGAATTGGGACACAGTCTCGCCATTAGATTGTACCGAATGTCTTTTTCCACACTCATTGTTCTTGCATGGATCCTCAGAATCTGCGTCCTCCCATCTAAGTCAGACAGTCCAAATTCCACCTTCCTGTCCAGCCTCCCTGGTCTAAAGCAAAGCAGGATCTAGGGTATCTGGCCGATTGGTTGCCATCAAAACCTTCACATTCCCCCTTGAATCAAAACCGTCCAGCTGGTTGATCAACTCCAGCATAGTCCTCTGCACCTCATTTTCACCACTGTCCTCAAATCTCGTCCCTCCAAAAGCGTCCACCTCATCAAAAAATATTATGGCCGCCTTCTTGGATTTTGCCAGCTCAAATATCTCCCTAACCATTCTAGCACCTTCGCCCACGTACTTCTGTACCAGCTGTGAGCCTATCACCCTTATAAAACACACATCCGTCCTATTGGCCACCGCTCTGGCTAAGAGGGTTTTTCCAGTACCAGGCGGTCCGTAGAGCAAAACTCCTTTGGGCGGATCAATCCCTAGCTTAATGAACCTTTCTGGACTCAAAAGAGGCATTTTCACCAGTTCTTTGATATTTTCTATTTCTTCTTCGCACCCACCTATGTCATTGTAGGTGATATCCGGTCTCTCTTCAACCTGCATCAGCGTCACTGAAGCATCGATCTTTTTGGGCAAGGGTAGCATTATGCTGTACTTAGACCTATCCACCCCCACTCTCATTCCCTCCTCGATTGAGTCTTTGCCGAGTCTTTTGTTCTTCTCAACTATAAACTTTGCCATCTGTCAGACGTTGATCATATATTTTGGCTCTTTTTCGCCTTCGAATAAATTCAGGACACGCGCTACCTGGAGCGTCTGTTCGCTCAACTGCCTGTTCCTATCCCCGGCTAAGTCCCAGAGGGAGGGTGGTGCTAGACCAGTCTCTACCTCCTTAGCACCGAGTTTCAATGAAACCTGTTCAAAAATTGAATTTATCTGGGACTCGACATCATTTATGTCGTCGGAGTAGTAGTTCCTGCCGTAGCTTATGAGCAGATCAGGAGGTGGGGCACCTCCTGATCTGATACTGGTTTCATTTCGTCTACTTTTGACATAAGGGCTTCTTTAAAGCCTAGAAACAGAAAGATTTGGCGAGACACTAAAAGGGGTAGAAAGCCATAACAACAGACTGTGGAGAAGCTTTTATCTCCTGAATTTTTTACAGCGGGTAACTTTCTCGATGCAGACAGCGTCGATAATATTTTTTTGGAACTTACGGCATTTATATGGAAAAAATGAAACCTGACACTTTTATTTTATATCTAACAATCAGCAAACTTTTAGCTTCGAACTTGGATAAGCTTGGATACATGTACTGCAGATACTCATTTGCTATAATCAATGGAAAGATGACCTATTTTATCAGCATGAAAGTCAAGGGAAAAGAAATGCTGCCGATTGCGGAGTTTAGTGACAGAATTGAGTTTAAAGATGTTAATTTCTATCATGGAGAAAAAAATTCTGAGCAGCATAAATTTCATGATAAAGCAGTCTGAGAAAGTTGCTCTAGTTGGCAAAAATGGGTCTGCATTGCTGTAAATACTTCTGAAGTACAACAACTACGAGGGTTTCGTTACAATCGATGGCGAGGACATAAAATACCAGTCCTCAGAACAATTGAGAAGGCTATGTACAACAAGATGCTCCGCTATTTAATGATACTGTTCGTTACAACATAAAGTACGGGAACACGGACTGTCTTGACTATTTTATGATAAGTCTCTGCAAAAAAAATGGATATCCACGATTCGATTATGAAACTTAGGGACGGAAATAACACCGTGGTTGGAGAAAGGGGAAAGTTCTTGAGCGGCGGAGAAAGGCAGAAGATAGCGATTATGCGTGCTCTTCTGAAGGACATAAAGATACTCCTCATGGACGAGCCCATGGCAGCTTTGGACAAGGAGGCCGAGTATAGCGTTATCAAGAAAATCCTTGAATCGTTTACTGACAAGACCATATTAATGATAGTTCATAATTTTGATTTGCTAAAGTTATTTGATAGGATCCTTTGCTTTTTAGATGGAACTATCAAAGAATTAAAGAAGCCCGAAGAGCTTTATGATGAGAATGACATTATTCTCTGATGAGAGGCGAAAAATATTGGATAGCTGAATAATAATTTTAAAAATAAATTTATTAGTTACATCCTGTCCGTTTTTGTACCGAATAAACTGAGAATGTTCTCTCTTGTTTATAATAATTCTAAGTTTATATCTTCAGCAGATGTGTTTCTGGCCGGAGAATATTTTTTATAACCTGAAGCTTATCTTTTCAGTGACGAGAGGCCTTCGCTATTAGTGTAAACTGGGAAGGAGCTATCAAAGGATTTTAACGGCTACATACATTTTTTTTCTGGGCCTCCAAACATGCTTTACACAGCATTGTCAATGATGCAGAAGAGTTCTAAGGTTGCTGAGACTTAAGTCGATCCCATTGTTCTCCACAAAAGCAGATAGAAAACTAAAGAAGCCCACATGAAAATCGAGATTGATATCTTTGACTCAAAAGATGTGGATGTCGATCGGCGCGAAATTAAAAAGCGGAGACATATAGACAGCTACGATTACGGCGATTCATTCATCGAGCATTTCGAAGGGGAAGATGAGGCTGTGGAGATCGAGCCGAATCTTTCAAATTGTTTTATGTACGAGGGATCTCTCCTAGATAAGCCTTCAAAAATATTGTCTGCACACAGGCGTTCTAAAGAGAATCAGAGTGATGAGGGGGAAGTTACTTCAAAGCCATTTGATAATGTGTATTGTATGCAAAATGTAGTTTACTCCGAAATCTCAGACGGTGATTATACAGAAAAAGACATGGTAAATTTACTTTTATACGATCTCATGATAAACAATGATACAAAATTTGAGAAACTAAGGAGGAAAATAAAACACGAAGAGGTTCTTGAGCATGCAAATTTAGAATTTATACGTTCAAGGTCTGAGGAATTACATGAAGAAGCTGGTGGCTTATTCACCGAGCTAACATCCATTTTAAATTCAGAGGAGCAATACGAAGACCAAAGCATTATTTTCAGGGAATACTTGTGTGAGGCCGTTTTTAATTTTGTAGACGCCAAAAGTAAAGCAAGTGCGTACAATTTGGAAGTGGTCAACAATAAAAAATTAGTTACAACACAATGAGAAAAAATGCGTACAATGAAATATGTGAATTGATGAAGAAGGATATAACAAATCAAAAGCAGCTGCGATACTATGTTCATCAGTATTCCAAGAGACACAGCCTGGGCAGGTGCAATGGATTTAAGGTGGAGTATTTGTGCTTAGAAAAAAAAATGAATCAATTTTGAAAATGGCAATGAGAAGTAGAGGGTTCTTTAGAAAATGGAGAAATTAGGGGCAATGAAGACACAAAGAACATTGGAAGAAATGACAGGAAAAAATTGAAGCGGTAAAAGACACCCAGGAGCTATAAAAGAAAAAGGGTTGATGAGGCTGAGAATAAAAACGAAAGAGAGTTGGAAAAAATAAATGGCCAAGAGAAATGTGTGGAAAGTAAAGAGGATCATTGCGAGGACGTTTTGCATAAAGAAGAGGGTACTCCTGGTAAAAATATTGACGTAGGTCAGGACCCGCTTTCCCTACAAAATACGGAAAGTCAGTGTTTGGCTATTAGGAGAAATAAAAACGACTATGTGGTTGAATAAAGTGCTGAGAAATAAATTTTATTTTTGTGATATTTTACGCTTAAAACTTCCTCGCATCATCCATCCATTTCGGCACAATGGCGACAAATTTCATTCGGCATGTCCCACAATTAGACACTCTTGAGATGCAATTCTTGCATTTAACCATCTGTGCGGTTTTAGCATGAAAAACAGCCCATGGGCAACACGAACATGTATTACATCATAATGTCTGTGTATTTTTATTTTCACCTGACTACTGCCCTGTAATAAACTTGTATTGCAAATGTTCAAATTGCTTATCCCATCAATGCAGGTATATCGCTTAGGAGTTACTGCTGCATTTATTTTAAAAATAAAATTTTACCCCATAGATGTCCTTCAAAACGCAAAACTACTCTCTTCCATCCAGCGTTCTCAAATTTCAATTCTTCTTACGTACAAAATACTGTATAGAAATCTTCGAGATAACAGACGATTGAACGTATTTGGCCACTTCCAATAAAATATTCTTCAATAACTCGAAAATAGCAAATTTTCAAGGAAAAATAACTTTTCTAAAGTCGTCAAAAAATATATTGGTCGTTGCTGACGAAAATGGATCCATAAAAATAATAAAGGAAAAGGTTATCAGACGATATGGAGTTGGATGTTCCGTAGTGGATATGCAATTTATCCGTGATTTAAGGATATATGTCGGCGGAGGTGATGATACACTGATAATTTATGAATTTCAGGAGGAGTCCCCGATCTATACAGTAAAATTTGACGAGAAGCTGGTTTGTAGTGCTCTAAAAGATAATTTTTTGTAGTCTCTGTTGGGAGTAAAGTAGTTTTTCTGTATCTATTGAACTTTAAGGAGATTAAAGTTCTACAATTGCTAGGTAGAATATTTTTTCTTGAAAACAGAGGGTTGTTAATGTGTGATACAAACAGAATGGGAATTTTTTACCTGAAAACAGAAACCTTCACAGAAAAAAGGGTTCACAGGATGTTCATAAACAACATAGAGGTTAAGGATGGATTGATATATTCTCTTGGGTACGATGGATACCCAAAGATTTTAGATTACAAATTGAATATCCTAGAAAAGCAGTACATAAGCGATGCAGTGTCTTTTTGACTAAAAGAAAAAAATTAGGTTGCAAAAAGCTCGGGTGAGGTACTCGTTGAAGCAGGAAAACTTGGGGAGGGCACAAAATGATTTAAAACATACGATACATTTGAAAAAATGATAATAAAAAAGTACGAATACTAGGGATCGTTTCTAGATGCTATAAAAACACAAGACATGAACAGAATTTATGATGTTTCCAAATATTTATATGATGTTAAGGGTTTTAGGCAAGCGCTATATGACAATGCACTGAGAGACTTAATTTTGATACTTGAATTTATCGCAGGAAATTTGTTTATCTTAGGGTTCAGGGAAATATTCATTGAAGTTCTTAGAGTGATTCTAATCAATTACGAATATTTTTATTTTGAGTTCGGGCCCTATTTAGAAAGGATTGAGAAAAATATTGAGAATGAGATGTTGTTCCAGCAAGAGTGTTGTATCCTTGCATCTTTTATAGAAACATTTTTATAAGAAATAAGCTTATTATAATTTTTTTTTGGCTTCGGTTTTGTTTTGATGATCAATTCGCACTTCTTCAAGAATATTACATATTGAACCAATGGAAGGTTACTTAAATTATTAACACTTGAGCAATTATATGGAGTTTCCCGTTCATCTTCGCGCAAAAATGGAATAAATAGTCGTCGGTTGTATTCTGTGGAGTATCCTTGCCATCTGCATGTACATCCCGTGCAAGGACATGGAAATAGTTGAGGCAAAGGCTTCGCTATGGGCTTTTTCGCGAGGAAGAACCAGAGTGGGAGCCACACACATGCAATTATCAAGGGCAACTGGAGTATGGATGGCAGCAGTTTAGGCCGCCTCATCTCCAGGGGAACTGCTGAATTTGGTGTATCCCAAATGGGAGTACCTTCCGGACATCAACTGCATATTGGTAACGAAATTTGCAGTACTTTATATAAATCACCTGGAATCAAGGCCAAATGGGTATTATCACCTTATTCGGATGGTAGCTACAGTTCGGAGTTCATTCGATGAAGCTCTGACACCGCAAGAGAAGCCAGGTTTTCAACTCCCTGTAGAGGGAGCGAGGATTTTTCTTCCAATATAAAGAATAGACCAGTTCATAAACATTTTATTTGTCCTAATACTGAGAACCACAAATATTGCTTTTGTATCCAGACCTTAATAAGCTAGTGCTACAAACTTTAGACTTAGAAAACTTATATTCTGTTATCATGACTGTTTATTCAACTCTCACGTGTTTGACCTTTTATTCATTCTGATCCAATCTAACCTCAAGTTTCCTTTGAGCCACAGAAGTTGCCATAATAAGATTAACTTCTAAGAGAATCTCCACCAAATCCACCTCTAATTTGGCCGATTTCCAAAATATTGAAATTAATACTCAAGTCTTGGCAAATTTACTTGGCAATACTTGGCAAATATTAAATAAAAATTCACATAGTCCAAATATTTCGCATCCGTTACTTTCTTCGGCTATGTCCAAATGTGATGACACAGTGGTTATTTGTAATACAATTGCTCTCATATTCTCCTCTTGTGCATGATTTAATACGCTGGTATATAAGTCACGAGTCATACTTTTTACATCTTTAGATCGCCTGGACAACTTTTTCCCCTTAGCATATGTTTCTTTGCAGGGACTCAATGGGACTCTATTTGGATACTTTAAATTTCTCCACTTGTCATTATATTTTACCACCATAAGCACCTCCATGCTTTTTGAAAAAATTGGCTTTACCATCATCTAAAAAATCACAGCTTGTTCTGCGATGTTTTTCCACTAAAAGGATTCACGAGACACTTTTCCATCACTCCATTCTTTATCCGATATTCCAAAACCCATAAATTATTTCTTTTTATTAAGTATTACCTCCACTGTATTAATCCCAACTTTAACCAACTTGTCTTTAAAATCTTCATAAATATTTAATTTCCCTCCTTTGAGCGGAGTATTCTCTGGTAGACACGCTGGATCTCTCCTAACCATCCTTTCTTGCACAGGCACTCCCTTGTAATTTGGAAGGAATTTTCCAGGATTCTCCTCTGGTGAAGTAGATGGATCTACTCTGGACTTAGTTTGCTCTTGAGGTGGATTTGGTAGCAAATTACACCGGCTATTTTGATTATATACCGCAAAGATCACGAGTCCATATGGAGCCAAAAATGGAAGCATCTTTTAGCAGTTTGCAGCATTAAAAAAAGAGCTACTGTCTCTAAATAAAAATATTGAATACGCCAAATCAACGTGTTTTTATTCAAGCAGAAATTATTAGATGCTGCCACGCAAATGCATGGATCGGACTTGAAAAAGATCAATATATACTTTGTAATCAAACTCAATGCACAGTTTTCCTCTCATACTTTCTTCTTTTAGATCCTTCAGCTCATCCCTGTTGCCCGTGTCCACATCCATATTGGAGCCAGAAACGAACAGCTCTCTTAGCGAATTTTGTAACTTCTTGCTTTTCACCAGTTCTTTTAAGATACCTCATTCTCTCAACATATAGCATTGTAGTTCAGCACCCTTAAATTATAAAAATTTTCCACAATTGCTATTGTGTTCTCATCCAACAGACCCACTGATAATTCTAAGTGCTTGATGGAGTAGTGCAGATTTTTCAGTTTTCCCAGTGCTTCCAAGTGTTGATGATACAGTGCATATCCATACAAATGTAGTTCTTCTAGGCTTGTTAGGCCACTTAAATTAAAAAAGGAATGGTCAATAAAATAATCTGACGTGATCTTAAGGCTTTTTAAAGACGCCAACGATCTTAAAGAGTCAAACAAGGCAAACGAAAATTCCCTCTCACAAAGATCTGGAAGTTCCAGAGTCAAGTCGCTTAGATCCCTAGCTTCGGAAAAAGTATTTTCATCTACTTTGCTTAAGTGATTGAAGCGGATTTCAAGCTTCCTCATTTTCTTAACAGCCTCGAAACCCAGCACAGACATGGCATCGAAAGGTTCAAATCCGTTAAAGTCATAAATATCCAGCTTTTCTAGACATTTGAGTTCCCTTAAAGATGCCAAATCGCTTTCTGTCAGAAGGCATCCTGTCAAGCCTAAATTCTTTTGGCCATTCAACATGAAAATAGGGTTTTTGTTCGTTGTGTACTGATGAATACGAGAATTTTTAAAATACAATTCCCTTAAATTATTAAAACTACCTATAAATTCACACAAACTTTCGTTTATACAATGCCCGAAAAGCCTCAACACGCTTTTCTCAGGGAAACACTTCTCAGCGTCCCGATATTTAGAAATCTGCTGAGCATCTAAAGGTGTTTTTTTCTGTCAACCCCTTTGTACCCGTTTTTAACTTGAAAATCTTCTATATTCAGAGATGTAAATTGCTTGAAGAAGGCAGCAAAGGGTCTTTGAACCAAATCAAAGATTAAAAGTCCTTTCCTATAGTTTTGGATTCTTATCTAAAACTAGCCTAAGGCACTTTGTGCATGCAACCCAAATGTTATACTTAACTATAGTGTTAGGAGGAACATTCTAAAGCTCCATTGTTCCATTTGTGAAAAAAGCCAAGGATCAAGGTAAAAATGAATAAGAATGATATAGTAAATAACGTATGAGAGGAGATGTGAAGGGGGTCCATTGGAAGGGGTGAGAGAATTGCGATTTCTACGTCTAAAAATAAAAAAAACGATGGCAACCATAAAAAACCGAAGAGAGAATGGAATTAGAGATTTGAAAAAGGGGGTAAAGCCACACTCAAATGGTGGGGTTTTTTATGGTCCAATAAGGTTTTTTTTTCCTATTAGTGTGGCTGCTAAAATGATTATTATTGCTGTCGTGCCCTCTCAGGCACGACATCCGGGTGTGTGCAAATAGTTGGTGTAACAGGGATTTTTTTACTTGTCGTTCTGGCTTCCATCGGTTTCTTATTAGAGTAAACCGTCTTCTTAACTCTTATATCATCGCAGAGTTTGTTGTTCGTTGCTATGCCCATCTAATGGGTTTTGATCCGAATTTTTTGGCGGGTAAAATTTTTATTCTTGAACGACCTTCTTCTTGAATTTTGAACTGCTATTTCGACTGTCGTTGTCACTACGCTAGGTGGGGTGCACGACTATTGATAAAAGGAGAATGGTGATCAATAAGCTAGAAATTAGTAATTTTTTTCAGATTTTTTCATTCGAAGTGAAATATAATTTTCACATTATTTGTTTTGTCTGATCGATTTTTAAACCGGAAAACCTTGTGCTTCTGAAATTTCCAGGGAAATCCCAGACCCAGTCAGTGTTCACAGTTCCACAGATCCCTGCACAAAAATACCAAATAAAGGCGACCCATCTCGTCAAAAATTTTCTTTGGTGTTAAGTCACAAGGAAAAAAATGCTGTCACACACTGTCATCTTTGATTTGTTAAAAATGTTAAACATGCCAAATTTATTGGGATAGTCTCACAAGTAACACATCACTCGGGTTTCAAAACGTCAGCCAGTGACGTGAAAGAAAACCACGTAGTGTTTCCCATGCCTGGCAGTCCCAAACCTTTCGTTCCCATCAAAAAACAAATGACGGAAGTCTGTGAAGGTCACTGTAGACTTTTCATCATCGCCTTCTTCTCGACCGAAAATCTTCACAGATTGTATATAAAATAGTTCGTCTTCCAACTGCTTCAACAAATCCTTATCATCCAAATCCAGATTAGGCAACTTGCGAGCTAAATCCTTTTCCATCTCGTCCCGATTGGCCAAAAAATAATCCATGTTGCACCAAATGTCGACGGTCATTAGTTTCAGTGCTTCCCGAAGCGAAACTTGCTCGATGGTTGTAACTGTGGCGTCTGGATAGCATGGCTCAGCGTCCTGCCAGTCCTTGGAATACAGAGAATCTAGTTGTTCCCTGGACTCGAAATACTTAGTGTCGATCAGTCCAACGTGGAGTACGTAATGACCATAACTAGATGTTTTCAGAATCGGCATCAGAAATCTGTCTCTTCCCCAGTCCATGTCCTCAAACCATTTGATTTCATCTAGATGCAGTTCATCCTTGTGCACATAGACACCAGAGCGCTGTGCGCCCTCTGCTGTGAGAACTCGCGGCACTAGCAGCACTGAGTAGGTGCCCTGTTCAAAACCGGTCTTAATGAAGTTCTGGGTTGTAATCCCTCGCAGGTGGTGCCTGTAAACAAAGTTGCAGACACACAAAGAAGGATGGGGTAACATGGCGGTGATTTGTTGACAAATCATATGGAGGCAATGAAATTTCATGGTTGCCAACTGAGACCGAATGCGGTCTTCGTTACCTGTCATGAACCAGCAGTGGCCATGAAAAGACCAGTGAAAAAATTGACCTGCAAGGGCTTAAATTTGACCGAATCGTGACCGTAAGCCCTCAAATAGCAAAAAACACCAAAAATTCCTGAGTTTGTAGCAAGAAAATTTAACATTTTTCTGGCAGCTCATTTACATTTCAATAGGCGACCAGTTTCTTTGCGATTTTCCATTAATTACAACTTTTCTAAATAGTTTCTTCAACAATCTCACTTCAATATTTCATATTCCACTATCGGTGTTATTTGAATTCATCTACAAAAAATACAAATGACCGGGAATGACCGCCACAGAGGATCTGAGTGACCGAATGAAAAATTTTTGGTTGGCAAGCCTGGAATGAATTAGTGAATCGCAGTGTAGAGTGAGGGTAAGAATTCACAATACTGAACGGCACCAGTAGGGAAACCAGTCGACTCCCCAGTTGGATTCGTTTTCATGTTAGAGATCAAGAGTCAACCGGTTTCACTACTGGTACACTAACTCAATACCTCCATATTATTTATCAACAAATCCCGTTCATTCGAACCTTCTGAGACTGTTTAAGTCCAAAATCAGGTGAAGCAACTAAAATTACCTCACCGGAGTATTCGAAGCAAGGTTGCCAGGCTGCCAAATTGCAGTTTCATAATAAAATGCCGAACAAAATAAATAAGTTGATTAATTAATAGTTAATCAAAAGTCTACAAACAGATTAGATCACTTCTTTTCGTTGAAATCATAAAAAACCTGGGAAGAAAAAAGAAACTATTTTTACTGTTGATATCAGTAGGAGGCAGCCATCTGCTGTTCGTTTCATGACAGATAGATCAAATGGTGTGTCCCACAGAAAACATATTATGGATAGGATTTTTCTGGAGGTAGGAACAGGAAATCTGCAGGAGCCGATCTGGCCAAAACTGTTCTGGCCCACTCGGGGCGGTTCTGGCCCGCTGGTTCCGAGTGCGACGAAAAATTGCAGGCGTTGAAGGTTGCCAACTGCTTCTGTAGTCCCAGTTTATCTCTCCTAACGTAATCATCACTTCAGCAATCGCTGTAGTTCTGTATTCGCCGGGGACATCCCCGCAACCCCCCGCTCCTAAAAGAGGATTCGGGGTTGTACTGCAAGAGATTCACATAACCAGGAAGAAACTGGTTACAAGTTGGCAAAGCTAAAGTTGGTGTCGTGCCCTAGCGGGTGCGACACCCGGGTGTGTGCAAATAGTAGATGTAACAGGGATTTCTTTGATAGACTTGTCGTTCTCCCTTCCATCGGTTCCTTATTCGAGTAAACCGCCTTCTTAACTATTATATCATTGCAGAGTTTGTTGTTCATTGGAATGCCCATCTTATGGGTTTTGATCCGCTAGCTATTTAAGCCATTTTTTGGCGGGTAAAATTTTTATTCTTGAACGACCTTCTTGAATTTTGAACTCCTATTTCGACTGTCGTTGTCACTACGCTAGGTGGGGTGCACGACTATTGATAAAAGGAGAATGGTGATCAATAAGCTAGAAATTAGTAATTTTTTTCAGATTTTTTCATTCGAAGTGAAATATAATT